CCTCAGCCTCGAGTCGATGTGTTCCGTCCATCAATCTTGAGAAATGTGCAGTAAATGTGTGGAAAAGTTCCTTATATACTGCAGTCAGGCGAGCAGAAGCAGGAGGAGGTAGAGTTACCAAATGTTGTCTTAATCTTCAACTTGTCAGTTTTCAAAAGTGTTGTCATGACACTTGTCACACACTACATCTTTGGATATTAATACAGGGATTTTCTCAAAACTTGCCTAACCTATAGACATGATCTCCTTGCAACAGTGGGTTTGTTCAGTGGTGACTCCGCCTCCGCCTGTTTCTACACACCTGACTGCAGTGTACAAGCAACTTTTCGGAACATATGCTGAACATTTCTCAAGACTGATAAGAGGAGCGCAAATAGGTGAGGACCAGGAAAAACTACAAATGCACTTTGACAGGTCTGGTCTGACAAGAGGTTGCTAAAATTAAACCCCAGCAAGTACAAAGTTATGAAGACTGGGGAAAGTTCAAAGAAGCCTGCAAACCTCAGTCAAGTAGAAGGACCTTGGAGAAAACTCTGTACTAGGTAAATCACCAGAGATTCAGCATCAGCCGAATAACAGCCGAATCAGGTTTGTCTGGCAAATCAAAGATTAGCCTTCACGAAACTAAAGTGTCTTGAACGGCTCATGATAGAATATGCAGCACCAGTATTGGCACGCGTGGCTCAGCTGACAGCATCCTCAACTAAAATAGTTAGAGACTTGGGATCGATCCTGGCACAGGTGATGCACTGGATGTTTTCTTACACCTGCTGCCCCTGATCACCTAGAAGCAAGTAGGCACCTGGGTGTTAGTCAACTACTGTGGGTCACACCCTAGGAGACCAAATTAAAGGACCGCAATGTAAACAAGAGAAGAGTTTCTGAGGACGAACTGACTCTACTGAACACAATACCATTACTGGAACACTCACAAACAATCCACACAGTTAACACCATGACTTACAACATCGTAATCGTGTCATTACGATTTCGTGAGTCATGTTGACGGCTTTGAGGGGACTTGAGCTAGAGTTCGTCAGGGTCATGCTAGTGGGAGATTCGTCTGTAAAAAATATGCATTGTGATCACAGTGGTGCCTATGATAACCTTCCTATGGTGTAGAAATATGCCTAGTTGGATGAATCTTATTTTAGCCAGCTGGTCCAGTGGCTAACTCGTCGGTCTGGAGTTTTATGACTCTCTGATCGCGGGTTCTAACCCCACCCGTGGTATGGTTTTAGTTAACACAGTCATAAGTTTTATCTCCTATGTGCAGGTTGTTTGTGTTTCGATTTATTTTTCACATACCTTAAGTAAGTATTGTACACTAACAGCAAAGCCTGCCATATCAACGGGGAATTTTCTTTTGGCAATCCAGCCGTCGTACCATCCATGGAATTTACCATTCTTAAGAACAGGTGAAGAAAGTCCCGCCTTAGTAACGAGTCCCACAGGAAACATTGACACTCGCTCTGTGTACCGTATCTGTACGTGAAAAAAATTGGGGTTATTTGGGAATAATTTTCACACTACCAAGAGAATAAAGAATAATACGTCATTATACTTATTTCAGCTTATTATTTATAACCTTTATTAAGTTTATTGGCTCTTTTAATCATAATACCCACTTGTGTAACATAATACCCACTTGTGTGTTAAACATTATACCCACTCGTGTGTGTAACATAATACCCACACGTGTTTTGTAACAATACCCACTCGTGTGTGAAACATAATACACACTTGTGTGTGTAACATAATACCCACTCGTGTGTGTAACATAATACCCATCACGTGTTTTTGTAAACAATACCCACTCGTGTGTGAAACATAATACACACTTGTGTGTGTAACATAATACCCACTCGTGTGTGTAACATAATACCCACACGTGTTTTGTAACAATACCCACTCGTGTGTGAAACATAATACACACTTGTGTGTGTAACATAATACCCACTCGTGTGTGTAACATAATAACCACTCGTGTGTGTAACATAATAACCACTCGTGTGTGTAACAAAACCCACTCATGTGTGTAACATAATACCCACAGGTGTGTGTAACATAATAATTACTCGTGTGTGTAACGTAATACCTACTTGTGTGTTAAACATTATACCCACTCGTGTGTAACATAATACCCACTCGTGTAACATAATACCCACTCGTGTGTAACATAATACCCACTCATGTGTGTAACATAATACCCACTCGTGTGTGTAACATAATACCCACTCGTGTAACATAATACCCACTCGTGTGTGTAAAATAATACCCATTCGTGTGTGTAACAATACCCACTCATGTGTGTAACATAATGCCCACTCGTGTGTGAAACATAATACCCACTCGTGTGTGAAAAGTTGCATCAATAAATATTTTTCGTCATCACTGTATTGTATATGCGGACATCAATTAGTATTGTACATGCGGACATCAATTAGTATTGTACATGCGGACATCAATTAGTATTGTACATGCGACATCAATTAGTATTGTATATGCGGACATCAATTAGTATTGTACATGCGGACATCAATTAGTATTGTATATGCGGACATCAATTAGTATTGTACATGCGGACATCAATTAGTATTGTACACGCGGACATCAATTAGTATTGTACATGCGGTCATCAATTAGTATTGTACATGCGGACATCAATTAGTATTGTACATGCGGTCATCAATTAGTATTGTACATGCGGTCATCAATTAGTATTGTACATGCGGTCATCAATAAGTATTGTACATGCGGTCATCAATTAGTATTGTACATGCGGACATCAATTAGTATTGTACATGCGGTCATCAATTAGTATTGTACATGCGGTCATCAATTAGTATTGTACAAGCGGTCATCAATAAGTATTGTACATGCGGTCATCAATTAGTATTGTACATGCGGTCATCAATTAGTATTGTATATGCGGTCATCAATTAGTATTGTATATGCGGTCATCAATTAGTATTGTATATGCGGTCATCAATTAGTATTGTATATGCGGTCATCAATTAGTATTGTACATGCGGACATCAATTAGTATTGTATATGCGGTCATCAATTAGTATTGTACATGCGGTCATCAATTAGTATTGTACATGCGGTCATCAATTAGTATTTTATATGCGGTCATCAATTAGTATTGTACATGCGGACATCAATTAGTATTGTACATGCGGTCATCAATTAGTATTGTACATGCGGTCATCAATAAGTATTGTACATGCGGTCATCAATTAGTATTGTACATGCGGTCATCAATTAGTATTGTATATGCGGTCATCAATTAGTATTGTATATGCGGTCATCAATTAGTATTGTATATGCGGTCATCAATTAGTATTGTATATGCGGTCATCAATTAGTATTGTACATGCGAACATCAATTAGTATTGTATATGCGGTCATCAATTAGTATTGTACATGCGGACATCAATTAGTATTGTATATGCGGTCATCAATTAGTATTGTACATGCGGTCATCAATTAGTATTGTACATGCGGTCATCAATTAGTATTTTATATGCGGTCATCAATTAGTATTGTACATGCGGACATCAATTAGTATTGTATATGCGTTCATCAATTAGAAATTGAAACATGCGGACATCAATTAGTATTGTACATGCGGACATCAATTAGTATTGTATATGCGGTCATCAATAGTATTGTACATGCGGTCATCAATTAGTATTGTACATGCGGTCATCAATTAGTATTTTATATGCGGTCATCAATTAGTATTGTACATGCGGACATCAATTAGTATTGTATATGCGGTCATCAATTAGTATTGTACATGCGGACATCAATTAGTATTGTATATGCGGTCATCAATTAGTATTGTACATGCGGTCATCAATTAGTATTGTATATGCGGTCATCAATTAGTATTGTACACGCGGACATCAATTAGTATTGTATATGCGCTCATCAATTAGTATTGTATATGCGGTCATCAATTAGTATTGTACATGCGGACATCAATTAGTATTGTATATGCGGTCATCAATTAGTATTGTACATGCGGACATCAATTAGTATTGTACATGCGGACATCAATTAGTATTGTATATGCGGTCATCAATTAGTATTGTACATGCGGACATCAATTAGTATTGTATATGCGGTCATCAATTAGTATTGTACATGCGGACATCAATTAGTATTGTACATGCGGACATCAATTATATTGTATATGCGGTCATCAATTTAGTAATTGTACATGCGGACATCAATTAGTATTGTACATGCGGTCATCAATTAGTATTGTACATGGGGTCATCAATTAGTATTGTACATGCGACATCAATTGTATTGTACATGCGGTCATCAATTAGTATTGTAAAATGCGGACATCAATTAGTATTGTATATGCGGTCATCAATTAGTATTGTACATGCGGACATCAATTAGTATTGTATATGCGGTCATAAATTTAGTATTGTACATGCGGACATCAATTAGTATTGTACATGCGGACATCAATTAGTATTGTATATGCGGTCATCAATTAGTATTGTACATGCGGACATCAATTAGTATTGTATATGCGGTCATCAATTAGTATTGTACATGCGGACATCAATTAGTATTGTACATGCGGACATCAATTAGTATTGTACATGCGGTCATCAATTAGTATTGTATATGCGGTCATCAATTAGTATTGTACATGCGGTCATCAATTAGTATTGTATATGCGGTCATCAATTAGTATGCTACAGTTTTGTAAATCCTCTGATAAATTATTTCACATTTTTGGCCCATCAGTTTGCATAGAATTTATGTAGAAGTTCATATGAACAACAGGAGTGTCAAAAAGTTATTGTATCCTGTGAGATACTTGAGTATTTTGTTACAGTTCTGCAGGAGGCATCTCTGGCCAGCATCAGCATTACAGTTCTGCAGGAGGCATCTCTGGCCAGCATCAGCATTACAGTTCTGCAGGAGGCATCTCTGGCCAGCATCAGCATTACAGTTCTGCTGGAGGCATCTCTGGCCAGCATCAGCATTACAGTTCTGCAGGAGGCATCTCTGGCCAGCATCAGCATTACAGTTCTGCAGGAGGCATCTCTGGCCAGCTTCAGCATTACAGTTCTGCAGGAGGCATCTCTGCCCAGCATCAGCATTACAGTTCTGCAGGAAGCATCTCTGGCCAGCATCACATTACAGTTCTGCAGGAGGCATCTCTGGCCAGCATCAGCATTACAGTTCTGCAGGAGGCATCTCTGGCCAGCATCAGCATTACAGTTCTGCAGGAGGCATCTCTGCCCAGCATCAGCATTACAGTTCTGCAGGAGGAAATCTCTGGCCAGCATCAGCATTACAGTTCTGCAGGAGGCATCTCTGGCCAGCATCAGCATTACAGTTCTGCAGGAGGCATCTCTGGCCAGCATCAGCATTACAGTTCTGCAGGAGGCATCTCTGGCCAGCATCAGCATTACAGTTCTGCAGGAGGCATCTCTTGCCAGCATCAGCATTACAGTTCTGCAGGAGGCATCTCTGGCCAGCATCAGCATTACAGTTCTGCAGAAGGCATCTCTGGCCAGCATCAGCATTACAGTTCTGCAGAAGGCATCTCTGGCCAGCATCAGCATTACAGTTCTGCAGGAGGCATCTCTGGCCAGCATCAGCATTACAGTTCTTGCAGGAGGCATCTCTGGCCAGCATCAGCATTACAGTTCTGCAGGAGGCATCCCCTGGCCAGCATCAGCATTACAGTTCTGCAGGAGGCATCTCTGGCCAGCATCAGCATTACAGTTCTGCAGGAGGCATCTCTGGCCAGCATCAGCATTACAGTTCTGCAGGAGGCATCTCTGGCCAGCATCAGCATTACAGTTCTGCAGGAGGGATCTATGGCCAGCATCAGCATTACAGTTCTGCTGGAGGCATCTCTGGCCAGTATCAGCATTACAGTTCTGCAGGAGGCATCTCTGGCCACATCAGCATTACAGTTCTGCTGGAGGCATCTCTGGCCAGCATCAGCATTACAGTTCTGCAGGAGGCATCTCTGGCCAGCATCAGCATTACAGTTCTGCAGGAGGCATCTCTGGCCAGCATCAGCATTACAGTTCTGCAGGAGGCATCTCTACCCAGCATCAGCATTACAGTTCTGCAGGAGGCATCTCTGGCCAGCATCAGCATTACAGTTCTGCTGGAGGCATCTCTGGCCAGCATCAGCATTACAGTTCTGCAGGAGGCATCTATGGCCAGCATCAGCATTACAGTTCTGCTGGAGGCATCTCTGGCCAGTATCAGCATTACAGTTCTGCAGGAGGCATCTCTGGCCAGCATCAGCATTACAGTTCTGCAGGAGGCATCTCTGGCCAGCATCAGCATTACAGTTCTGCAGGATTCATCTCTGGCCAGCATCAGCATTACAGTTCTGCAGGAGGCATCTCTGGCCAGCATCAGCATTACAGTTCTGCAGGAGGCATCTCTGGCCAGCATCAGCATTACAGTTCTGCAGGAGGCATCTCTTTCCAGCATCAGCATTACAGTTCTGCAGGAGGCATCTCTGGCCAGCATCAGCATTAAAGTTCTGCAGGAGGCATCTCTGGCCAGCATCAGCATTACAGTTCTGCAGGAGGCATCTCTGGCCAGCATCAGCATTACAGTTCTGCTGGAGGCATCTCTGGCCAGCATCAGCATTACAGTTCTGCAGGAGACATCTCTCCCCAGCATCAGCATTACAGTTTCTGCAGGAGGCATCTCTGGCCAGCATAAAGCATTACAGTTCTGCAGAAGGCATCTCTGGCCAGCATCAGCACTACAGTTCTGCAGGAGGCATCTCTGCCCAGTATCAGCATTACAGTTCTGCAGGAGGCATCTCTGGCCAGCATCAGCTTTAAACAGTTCTGCAGGAGGCATCTCTGGCCAGCATCAGCATTACAGTTCTGCAGGAGGCATCTCTGGCCAGCATCAGCATTACAGTTCTGCAGGAGGCATCTCTGGCCAGCATCAGCATTACAGTTCTGCAGGAGGCATCTCTGGCCAGCATCAGCATTACAGTTCTGCAGAGGCATCTCTGGCCAGCATCAGCATTACAGTTCTGCAGGAGGCATCTCTGGCCAGCATCAGCATTACAGTTCTGCAGGAGGCATCTCTGGCCAGGATCAGCATTACAGTTCTGCAGGAGGCATCTCTGGCCAGCATCAGCATTACAGTTCTGCAGGAGGCATCTCTGGCCAGCATCAGCATTACAGTTCTGCAGGAGGCATCTCTGGCCAGCATCAGCATTACAGTTCTGCAGGAGGCATCTCTGGCCAGCATCAGCATTACAGTTCTGCAGGAGGCATCTCTGGCCAGCATCAGCATTACAGTTCTGCAGGAGGCATCTCTGGCCAGCATCAGCATTACAGTTCTGCAGGAGGCATCTCTGCCCAGCATCAGCATTACAGTTCTGCAGGAGGCATCTCTGCCCAGCATCAGCATTACAGTTCTGCTGGAGGCATCTATGGCCAGCATCAGCATTACAGTTCTGCTGGAGGCATCTCTGGCCAGCATCAGCATTACAGTTCTGCAGGAGGCATCTCTGGCCAGCATCAGCATTACAGTTCTGCTGGAGGCATCTCTGGCCAGCATCAGCATTACAGTTCTGCAGGAGGCATCTCTGGCCAGCATCAGCATTACAGTTCTGCAGGAGGCATCTCTGGCCAGCATCAGCATTACAGTTCTGCAGGAGGCATCTCTGGCCAGCATCAGCATTACAGTTCTGCAGGAGGCATCTCGGCCAGCATCAGCATTACAGTTCTGCTGGAGGCATCTCTGGCCAGCATCAGCATTACAGTTCTGCAGGAGGCATCTCTGGCCAGCATCAGCATTACAGTTCGCAGGAGGCATCTCTGGCCAGCATCAGCATTACAGTTCTGCAGGAGGCATCTCTGGCCAGCATCAGCATTACAGTTCTGCAGGAGGCATCTCTGGCCAGCATCAGCATTACAGTTCTGCAGGAGGCATCTCTGGCCAGAAATCAGCATTACAGTTCTGCGGGAGGCATCTCTGGCCAGCATCAGCATTACAGTTCTGCAGGAGGCTCTCTGGCCAGCATCAGCATTACAGTTCTGCTGGAGGCATCTCTGGCCAGCATCAGCATTACAGTTCTGCAGGAGGCATCTCTGGCCAGCATCAGCATTACAGTTCTGCAGGAGGCATCTCTGGCCAGCATCAGCATTACAGTGAAGTATCTAAGATGTGTAGCGGGTAAGAGTAAGTGTAAATGGCAGTTGTATTTAGAAGATTTTGGGGCTGAATAAGAACATAGTGTGTTGCTTAGTGATTGTGATTACTTGTGTTGCTTAGTGATTGTGATTACTTGTGTTGCTTAGTGATTGTGATTACTTGTGTTGCTTAGTGATTGTGATTACTTGTGTTGCTTAGTGATTGTGATTACTTGTGTTGCTTAGTGATTGTGATTACTTGTGTTGCTTAGTGATTGTGATTACTTAAGTTGCTTAGTGATTGTGATTACTTGTGTTGCTTAGTGATTGTGATTACTTAAGTTGCTTAGTGATTGTGATTACTTGTGTTGCTTAGTGATTGTGATTACTTAAGTTGCTTAGTGATTGTGATTACTTGTGTTGCTTAGTGATTGTGATTACTTAAGTTGCTTAGTGATTGTGATTACTTGTGTTGCTTAGTGATTGTGATTACTTAAGTTTGCTTAGTAAATTGTGATTACTTAAGTTGCTTAGTGATTGTGATTACTGTGTTGCTTAGTGATTGTGATTACTTGTGTTGCTTAGTGATTGTGATTGTTTTTGCTTAGTGATTGTGATTACTTGTTTTTGCTTAGTGATTGTGATTACTTGTGTTGCTTAGTGATTGTGATTACTGGTGTTGCTTAGTGATTGTGATTACTTGTGTTGCTTAGTGATTGTGATTACTTGTGTTGCTTAGTGATTGTGATTACTTGTGTTGCTTAGTGATTGTGATTACTTGTGTTGCTTAGTGATTGTGATTACTTGTGTTGCTTAGTGATTGTGATTACTTATGTTGCTTAGTGATTGTGATTACTTATGCTGCTTAGTGATTGTGATTGTTACGTTAACTCCCTGTTGCTGAGAGATGATTGGGTTGAGGTAGGTTTCCTAAGTGGATTGCCAGACACAAATTCCATTTAAGAATGAGTTCACGATGGAAAGGTATCTTATAAGCATAGATATTGGAACGTAATGGCAACTCTGAGAGAGCATTTACCATATTTTTTATATGTATTGATATGAGTGTTAAATTTCACTTTGTTGAGGAACAACTGACCTCTTGGAAGAGCCGGATGTCGTAGGTGTTGTCATCATCAGCGAAGTATACCACACCTGAGGTAGCGTGTTCTCTCACCCACATGAGGCCACCATTACGATTTGCTACACCTTTAGGTTTGATCGATAACTGCTTGTACTTTTCGGGCATTGGTGCTGTTGAAAGGGACACACGTGTTAGGATATAATTATTTTATTCGAAGAGAATCACCAAACCAGCAGTACTCGTACAATGCCTAGGGAATGGAAGGATATCAGAGTTGATCTAAAGAGAGGGAGGGTAGCTCTATTTTGCTGGATGAAGATCCCTACACCAACATAGAGGCGTACATAACCATGAAGGGAATATTTTTAAAGCATTAATAAGAACAAACCTTAAAAAGACAATATTAACGACGACATTATTATGGTACAAAATATGCAAGTATACAATGAACTAACTAAAGTTAAAGTTTGCCATCTGAAGCTATTTTACTACTACTACTACTTATAATAATAATAATAATAAATAATAATAATAATAATAATAATAATAATAATAATAATATGTATTAATAATATTTTAGCACACCTGCGGTCTCCCACTCAAGTCCGGCTGACAGCTTTCCATGAATCCCTTCATAAATATTATTTTTCTCACACTCCAACAGCACGTCGTCATAAAAACCATTTTCCTCCACTTGCTCCTATCTAACACACTTATGCACGCTTGCTGGGAGTATAAGCCCATGCGCACAAAACCTCCTCTACCCCATCCCTCCAATCTTTCCTAGGACGACCTTTACCCTGCCTTCCATCCACTATTTTGTTTCATTATTTTGTTCCCTCATCTCTAAATGACCGAACCACCTCAACAACCCCTCCTCAGTCCTCTGGATAATACTTCTAGTATCTCCGAACCTGATTCTAGTCTCCAAGCTACGGATTCTTTGCTTATCAACACCACATATTGCTTCGTGATGCTTATCAACACCACATATTGCTTCGTGATGCTTATCAACACCACATCTTGCTTCGTGATGCTTATCAACACCACATACTGCTTCGTGATGCTTATCAACACCACATACTGCTTCGTGATGCTTATCAACACCACATACTGCTTCGTGATGCTTATCAACACCACATATTGCTTCCTGACACTAACTCATCACCTTCATGCATCTTCTCTTCAGAATCTCTCAAAGACACTGTGGGACTTTATCTATCATAAAGTCACAAACTCTACTGTGAAATAATATCCAAATTTAACTTTACTTTTCATTGTGGTTTTTTTATCCATTACAGTAGAAGTAGTCTTATAGAAGAACCACCTTAGGAGGTACTAGCGATCTGATAAGTGACTGCTAAGATAGCTGTAATATGTTTTATGACTTGGATTCTAGAGGTATTTTTGTCTCATAACATGCTACTTTACAGAGGTCTTGTACTTAGATTTATCAACTGCACACCTAAAGGTAATGTATACACACACCTCTAGGTTTCTTATTTTATAGTCTTTTCTTGTTTATTTTCTTACTTAGAGTGGACAGAATTTATACCTAACTAGGTGTGGTAATGGGATTAAAATGCAAGAGAGGGCTAGTAACTTCTAATGTATTATTAAATGGTAAGGAGGGTTTATTATTCTTCCTAGGGCCACGCAGGTTATAAGTTCTCTTAGAGGTAAGAAAGGATGAAGTATTTTATAAGGTAGATAAGTACTTACTTAAGAGGTAGGTATGAGGATTTAAAGTTATACTTAAGAGGTAGGTATAGGATTTATAATTACTTACTAAGAGGTAGGTATGAGGATTTTAAGTTACTTAAGATGAGTATGAGATTTATAAGTTACTTACTTAAGAGGTAGATATGAGGATTTATAAGTTCCTTACCTAAGAGGTAGGTATGAGGAATATGAGTTTAAGAGGTAGGTAGTATAATACTTCGTTTGGTGTAGGTTGAGGGTTTATAACTTATACAACAGGGAGGTATGGATTTATAAGACTGCGAAGAGTAATCAGGATTTTTAGTTACTAAACGTAGAGGTGGTTTAATGATTTAAAGAATAGGTAGGTAAGATTTATAAGTTTTACCTTTTACGAAGAACGTTATCTTTAAATATCCTTGAGGTTAGGTTGAGGATTTAAATTACGTACCTGTAAAGGGGTATGGGACTAAAGTAATTAAGAGGTGGTATGACTTTCGAACTACTAGGAGTAGATATGTATTTATAACTTACCCTAATAGTTTAGGCTTCCACGTATATTAACAGGTAGCGTAAATTGAGGAATTATAAGTTACTGTAATATATGGAGTTTAAAAGTCATTAAGATGATAAATGCAGCATACGTTTACTTACACGAGGAGGTTGCGGTCATAACTGACTAACCTAAGACAGTCATGAGAATTTATTAGTAACTTAAGCGCAGTGAGGATTTAAACTTACTTACTAAGAGGAGGTATGAGGATTTATAAGTTACTTACTTAAGAGGTAGGTATGAGGATTTATAAGTTACTTACCGAAGAGGTAGGTATGAGGATTTATAAGTTACTTACTTAAGAGGTAGGTATGAGGATTTATAGTTACTTAAAAAGGTAGGTATGAGATTTATAAGTTACTTAAGAGGTAGGTATGAGGATTTAAAAGTTACTTAAGAGGTAGGTATGAGGATTTATAATTTACTTACTTAAGATGTAGGTATGAGGATTTATAAGTTACTTACTTAAGAGGTAGGTATGAGGATTTATAAGTTACTTACTTAAGAGGTAGGTATGAGGATTTATAAGTTACTTACTAAGAGGTAGGTATGAGGATTTATAAGTTACTTAAGAGGTAGGTATGAGAATTTATAAGTTACTTAAGAGGTAGGTATGAGGATTTATAAGTTACTTACTTAAGAGGTAGGTATGAGAATTTATAAGTTACTTACTTAAGATGTAGGTATGAGGATTTATAAGTTACTTACTTAAGAGGTAGATATAAGGATTTATAAGTTACTTACTTAAGAGGTAGATATAAGGATTTATAAGTTCCTTACTTAAGAGGTAGATATAAGGATTTATAAGTTACTTACTTAAGAGGTAGATATAAGGATTTATAAGTTCCTTACTTAAGAGGTAGGTATGAGGAATGGACGAGTAGGTGAGGTAGTCGACAACGTTGTAGTTTGTGGTGTTAGCATCATCAGCAACAATCCAGTGAATGTTTGGAACATTCATCAGAGTCTGGGCGAAACGTATCAACTCAGGCATCTGTGGTAAACACGTAACCGTTTTAATTATCTTCAACAGAATCTGGAAATGGAAAGTGTTATTTCTGTTGAACCTGTTTCTGAAAGAACCCGTTATCTTTAAGATATCTGTCGTTCTGTTAATTTGATTGGCTAATCAAGAGCCCTGGTTAAGGGCTCTTGACCAAAAGAATTAGAGGTGCTCTTACTTTCCCTGAAACAAACCCAATCATCTCTCTTTCCCGCTAAATAACCCTTACAAGTTTATCGCTTCCACGTAAGTAACACATTACGCTAAACATTGAACAATATGTAATGTAAATATTGGAGAATGTTAAAACATGCGATGACAAACATGCAGCGACACGTTGTAACTAACACATGGAGTTACGGTCATGCACTGACAATCACGAACAAATGCACTGAAACATCATCCTTTATTGACAACGTTTCGCCCAGACAGTGAGCTTTATCAACTCACAAACAGGTTATGCAGTTGACCCTTCAACCGGAGGGTCATCCTTCATGCTCTTAAGTGCTCTTCATCCCAGGAATTAGAGCTACTCTCTCCTTCCTCAAGTCAAACCTGTTTGCCTTTTTTTCCAGACACTATATGAGCCCATACGGATTTAACGCCTCCACTTAAATATATTAATAATCTTCAGCAGATAATAATCTTTAGTAGATAATAAGTAGCATGTAAAGTAGCATGTAAAGTAGCACGTGAAGTAGCATGTAAAGTAGCACGTGAAGTAGCATGTAAAGTAGCACTTTAAGTAGCATGTAAAGTAGCACGTGAAGTAGCATGTAAAGTAGCACTTTAAGTAGCATGTAAAGTAGCACGTTAAGTAGCATGTAAAGTAGCATGTAAAGTAGCATGTGAAGTAGCACGTGAAGTAGCATGTAAAGTAGCACGTGAAGTAGCATGTAAAGTAGCACTGTAAGTAGCATGTAAAGTAGCACGTTAAGTAGCATGTAAAGTAGCATGTAAAGTAGCACGTGAAGTAGCATGTAAAGTAGCACTTTAAGTAGCATGTAAAGTAGCACGTTAAGTAGCATGCAAAGTAGCATGTAAAGTAGCATGTGAAGTAGCATGTAAAGTAGCACGTGAAGTAGCATGTAAAGTAGCACGTTAAGTAGCATGTAAAGTATCACGTGAAGTAGCATGTAAAGTATCACGTGAAGTAGCATGTAAAGTAGCACGTGAAGTAGCATGTAAAGTAGCACGTGAAGTAGCATGTAAAGTAGCACGTTAAGTAGCATGTAAGGTAGCACGTGAAGTAGCATGTAAAGTAGCACGTGAAGTAGCATGTAAAGTAGCACGTAAAGTAGCATGAAAAAGTAACACGAAAAGTAGATGAAAAGTAACACGTAAAGTAGCATGAAAAGAACACGAAAAAGTAGCATGTAAAGAACACGTAAAGTAGCTTTAAAAGTAACCTAAGTAGCATGAAAGTAGCAGTAAAAGTCATGTAAAAGTAACAGAAAAGTAGATGAAAAAGTAGCATGTGAAGTAGCATGTAAGTAAACGAAAAGTGCATGTAAAGTAGCAGGGAAAAGTAGCATGAAAAGTACAGAAAAGTGCATGAAAAGTATCACGTGATGTGCATGTAAAGTGCCGAAAAGTAGCATGTAAAGTGCATTTTAAGTAGCATGAAAAGTAGCCGTTAAGATATGTGAAGAGCACGTTAAGTAGCTGAAAAAGTACCCCGATAAGTGCATGTAAAGTAGATTTTAAAGTAGATGTAAATGCACGAAAAGTATATGTAAAGACACGTTAAGGGGCATGAAAAGTACCCCGATAAGTGCATGTAAAGTAGCCCGATAAGTAGCATGAAAAGTAGCACGTTAAGTGCATGAAAAGTAGCACGTAAGTATCTGTAAAAGTAGCACTTTAAGTGTGTAAAGTACACGTTAAGTAGCTGAAAAGTAGCACGTGAAGTATCATGTAAAGTGCACTTTAAGTATCATGTAAAGTAGCACGTTAAGTAGCATGTAAAGTAGCACGTTAAGTAGCATGTAAAGTAGCACGTTAAGTATCATGTAAAGTGGCACGTTAAGTAGCATGTAAAGTAGCACGTGATGTAGCTCGTGAAGGAGCACGTGAGGAAATCAGGTTTGATCCTAGGGAGAGGATCAATACCGTGACTGGAACAAGACACAAATAACCCGCACATAGGAGAGAGGAACTTAAGACGACGTTTCGGTCCGACTTGTACCATTTTTAGTCCGAAACGATTTGTCCCATTATTAGTCACCCCGACTTGTACCATTATCTAGTCCGACGACTTGTACCATTTTAGTCACGACGATTGTAACATTATTAGTCACGCAGACTGTCCTTATCTAGTCCGCACGTTGTCCCTTATTAGTCACGCACGATTTGTACCATTATCTAGTCACGCACGACTTGTACCATTATCTAGTCACGCACGACTTGTACCATTATCTAGTCACGCACGACTTGTACCATTATCTAGTCACGCACGACTTGTCTTATAGCACACACGGACTTTTTACCATTATTAGTCACACACGGACTTGTCCCATTATTAGTCAGCACGACTTGTACCATATTAGTCACACCGATTGTACCATTATCTAGTACACCGATTGTACATTATCTAGTCACGCAGACTGTAAATCAGTCACGGCAGATTGTACATTACTAGTCACGCAGACTTGTACCATTATCAGTCACGCACGACTTGTACCATTATCTAGTCACACACGTACTTGTACATTAAGTAAAACGTTGTACATTATAGTACACGAATTGTAGCATTACAAGTAGACACGAAGTAGCATTAAGTAGCACGCTTGAAAAATGTAGTACGCACGTTGTAGCATGCAAAGTAGCACGAACTTGCATTAAGTAGCACAAATTTGTATTTATCAGCACGCACGACTAGTAACATTATTAGTACGCACGGACTTGTACATGTATCAGTAGCACGTTGACATTATCTGTAAAGTTTACCACGTGAAGTAGCATTAAAGTAGCACGACTGTAGCATGTATCAGTCACGCAAGTTGCCATTATTAGTCAGCACGTGAAGTACATTATAGTAGCACGTAAGTACCATTATCTGTACCACGTTCTGTGCCATTTATAGTAAGCACGACTTGTACCATTATCAGTAAAGTTGCACCTTTATCTGTAAAGGACTTGACATTAGCACGAAAATGCACGTTTTTAAGTACCCCATTGTAAAAGATTAGCACGTTAAGATTGTACATTATAAGTAGCACGATTGTACATTAGCTGTAATGCACGATAAGTACCATGTAATGTAGCACAAGTTGCCATTATTAAAGTAGCACGTTGTACAAGTATCAGTAGCACGACTGTACCAACAAAAGTAGCACGATTGTACCATTATCAGAAAGCACGACTGTACCCATTAATAGTACCCCGTTGTACCATTATAGTACGCACTTTGTACCATTATCAGTAGCACGTTGTAAGCATTATTAGTACGCACTTTGTAGCATTAACTAGCACGCAGATTGTATTCATCTAAGTAGCACGGTTTTGTACATTAGGTAGCACGTAATGTACCATTAAGTAGCACGTTGTAGCATTATCAGTAAGCAGACTTGTACCATTATAGTAGCACTTGTAGCATTATCAGTACGACGAAGTACCTTTAAATAGTACACGTTTAATTATCTGTAAAGTGGTCCATTTTAGTAGCATTGTAATTAAGAAAGCAGGGATGTACTCGTGTTAAGTCACACACGTTGTACATTATCTGGGTCATCTAGGGACGATTGATCCAATACTGAGAACAAGCACGACTTCCCCCCATCTAGGTCACAGGGGAAACTTGACACTTATCTAGTCCGACACTTGTACCATTATCTAGTAATGCACGACTTGTACCATTATCTAGTCACGCACGACTTGTACCATTATCTAGTCACGCACGACTTGTACCATTATCTAGTCACGCACGACTTGTACCATTATCTAGTCACGCACGACTTGTACCATTATCTAGTCACGCACGACTTGTACCATTATCTAGTCACACACGACTTGTACCATTATCTAGTCACGCACGACTTGTACCATTATCTAGTCACGCACGACTTGTACCATTATCTAGTCACGCACGACTTGTATAACGGGATTATTTGGTGACTGAAAGCGGGGCGGGTGAATGATAAATATCTTCGGAGGCTTCTTTATTTATTTGTAAATGTCGTGGTGGGTACACAGGCTTGTGTGTATGCCCATGGCCCGGTAGGGCCATGCCCACGAGGGAGAGATCTAGTAGGACTTGTGTCTTGCTGCTAGGCCGCTGAGTGAAAGCGTGTGGGACCAGCGTCCCACTGACCTGGGCAGGTCAAGAGGGCAGCACCTTAGTGCCACAAAATATGAACTAAGCTGGCAGACAGCACAGGCTGTCTGTGCAGACAGTACAGGCTGTCTACATACGCTTGGCGACCTACCTCACGTCGTCTCGACGCGACAATACCGGTGGTAAAAAAAAAAAAACTCGGTCTCTCTCTCGTAGGAACAGGGCACAGAACACAAAATAAAAACATATATACATATGGACATGGAAATAAAACTTCCTACAGGGAGGGAAGAAAAAAACATGTGGGGTGTGCTAAACATCGTGGTCAAAGGCAGTGAGCGTCGAAGGGCATCACTGTACGCCTTCCTGTGTCTGGACAGATACTGCAACACAGGAGACATCGCTGCGGCTGAGCTGTGACGCAACAGGTTATGGTGTCCTCTGGAACAGTGAAGCAGTCATCGTAGGAGTCGCTGCAGGTTTTCACTCAACCTGGGGCACGACATGCTGGTGCCCTCGAGTGAGGCGTCGACAAAACTCGGCAACTGGGCAGGACTTCTAGCAAGCGACTCAGGAGGACACTTCTCGACTGTTACTGTCGCTGGGCTGTCACTGCTATCGAGGAGTGAGGAGTGGAGCGAGTCGTGGCAGAGACGACTGGGAGAAACATCTGGGAGTCGTAACATCATACACCAGACTGCAGTGAGCGAGCTAG